CAGGTGAGACACCGAGCAGCAGTAGTTTGCAGTTGCTGTAGCATCGGCACCAGCGGCAGCGTGCAGCCATTGGCAGGTGCCTTGGACGGCCTCTTCTTCTCGGAGGAGGCGCATGCTCTCCATTGCTGCCGCTCCCTGTGCGTTGGCATGGCAGCGCCCGCTGTGTGATGTTGCATCTTTGCAGGAGGTTTCGTCCTGCTGCTGGGAGATCGGCCTGTGTGCAGCAGCGACCTTCGGACGCCTGCCTCAAAACAAATGGCTTGCAGTCGATGCTCCGTTCCCAACTTTGCTGTGTATTAGTGAAATGCGCTGTCTTTGCTGTTGTCTTGCCAGGACTAGCAGTAGCAGCTCGACCCCCAAAGAGCAGCAGCAAGGCTGGCAAGTGCGAGTAAGCTCAGTCGAGGTAGCAGAGCCTGTCGCCTGTTTTGCTGCCTAATACCGCAAGGCGCCGAAGTCCTTCCAGAAGCCAGTGGGCCGATGCGCTGCTAAGCCTCTTGCATCAAGATTCAACACACGCACACACAGTTGTTTCATGAATTGTGCCAACGCCGAACTGGCACGACTTTTTTGGCATGCAACCTTTTTCAGTGCGCTTTCTAGACAAAGCTGTGATGGCCTGAGGCCTCTTGGCAACCTCTCGGGTGATGCCAAGGCTGGGTTTACAGAGTCCTCTCATTCGTCGAGCCATTCTGAGCCAGGTTGAAGAGATCGTCGCTGCAGCCCGGGCAAACAACATGACTCTGGCAGAAGCGCCTCAGAGAACACCAAAAGTTTGAGTTCGAGGGGAGGGGTGTGGTGTGACAAACTTGGGAGGCAAAGCTCCAGCAACTGCGAAACTCCTGGAGGCCAAGCGGTGTCTCAGGGCCTTGCAACTGGCTTACTCTGCCGGTCCTGTCACGCAGGCGAGAAGACGGTGATGCCGTGGAGACTGCATCTGCTGCTAAAGCGCCGCAAATCCACGCCATACTGCAGGCGCCTGTCTGAGTACCCAGCATGTTGCAGGTGGAAAGGATGCTGCTCTCAGCACACTGGGTTGCTGGTGTGCTTCTTGCGAGTGCACGAATTCTGTGGATGCATCACTGATGTTCTCAGCTTTGGTCGGCCTTGTTAGCGGAACACGCATCCACCTTGCGCATGCCAGTTTGCGGCAGTGTCAGGCTGCAGAGAATCATTACTTCACCTCCCTTTAGCTTTTCTGATTAGAAGCGAGCTTTGTAGAAATGACGGCAGGGATCACGAGGTTTAGCTAGCACTTATCTAGGCAAGGAACATATCTTGGAGCGGACTGTGGTCGCTTTCGTAAGTTCGGGTTTTGAGGCATCACATTTTGCAAGCAATGAACATTAATTGAGTCAGCATTGCATGGCTCCAGCGCGCAGGTGAGGGGTTTGGGTGGATCACGCATTTATGAAAATGTCCTCCTGCTTTTTGCCTTCGTGTTTGCTCAGTTTTGTTGCGCAAGTGCGACAGTGCGACAGTCAATACTGCTTCAAGCGCATACCAAGAAAGAAGTTTCATCAAAAAGGAGAGCATCAGCGACGTGACGTTGGGTGCCTGTAGGATAGATGAGTTTCCAGGCTATGTCAACATTCTGAACTTCCGACGGTCGTGCTGTGCTCGAACATGTTAAGGCATGCCTGGACGCTGGCGACGCCAAGAGAGCAGGGGAGTGGCCGCGCGGTTTAATTGGCAATGTTGGCTATCGAATGCGGTGATGGGTTTGTCATAAGTTATCAACATGACTGAGAATGGCCTCGCAGTTGCTTCATCAGCTTCGCGTGAATGCAGCATGAGCACGCGTGCTTGGATATATCTACCGACACTACACCGAGAGCCCCAAAAGCCAGCCCTGACCTAGACCTACAGACCAAACCATGAACCCCTCCCCAAGTGTGTAAGTGTTCCAAGTATAGTACTCAGTCATAAGAATATTGTACGTATTCTTCCTTATGGCCCAATATCATGGGGGCAGTATCCAACCTAAACCCTAACCTCAAATCCCAAACCCCAATGCCGGAATCATTCGTCTCAAAGATTTTTCCTCCCAGCCTAGCGTGCGAGTCCAGGCCTTCAAATATTCCACTAAGGTTCCTGCTGTTGCCGCGCACGCCAAAGGGCCTGCAGGCGCCTGGTGCCGTGCGCAGCCGTAACTTCGCGCTTGAGTCGTCAAGCTGCATTGCATTTACCTTGTCAGATGGTGGTGGATGCCATGGTGAAGAGCGCCGAGATTGCAGAGGCCTCATGCCCTTGGCATCCCCCTGGCTATCCCTTGTTTGAAAGTCAACAGAAAAATATCCTCACATCTCAGTTGTGAAACTGGCCACAACTGACGCCTGGTTCAAAAGAAGTCTTGCTTGCTTCAATCAGGGTCTGTGTTGTTGGACAGAGTAGCTTAATCAGTCTAGACATGTCTAGAGGGAGTTGAGCTTCATGGCCTTTGAGAATGAAGTTTCTAGAGGCGGAGGTCGTCATCTCTCGGGCCCTCGGCTCCCCGCCACACATCGCAGCTTGGCCTTGACTTGGTTTGACCTATGCTGCTCTAAGGTGGGACCAGGAGTCATTCCCCATGTTGCTCTGTTGGGATTAGCGGGAATCCTGAGGTTGGGCCCAGTCTTGTGGCGCTCTTCCGCCACTGCATCGAGCCCTCTCAGTCGGAGAAATTGGAGGTGCGGCCATTAATCACGTAAGTCATCCCGCCACGAAGTCATGCGAGAGCTGACGGTTTCGGTGCTGGACCTGCCACGCATATCCTTGCATCTTGTACCTGCAGGGCTTCCTTCGCCGTCTCCGAGAACAGAGCTCGCGACATCTGCTCTTCGGCTATGTGGCTCCGGCGGCAAGTTCGAGGGTGCATGCAGGGTGCATAGCTCTGAGCAGTCTTCCCCAAAAATCAATGACCAAGCCCACGCCAACTTACACAGCAAACAACAGAGTTCAGACCTGTGCACGTACAAAGAACACGCTTTCTTGAGGCTTCCAGTCATCGGTGTGCTTACTGATGCGTGACTTTTCCATGCAAGCCTACATGCCAACTTTAACCGGCATTCTTGACCTAAGCCTCAGGTGGCAATTCTGCGTGCAGCCAGGACACTTGGCGTAGACTTTCCCATTATCTCCCTGCTTCCCGCATGTCATGGACACTCCCAAACGATTGTCAAACTGCCAGGCATTTATGTCTTGCGTAGCGTGGCAAGCAAGGCACACAACATCGACGAGCCAGATCCATCATTGGATGCAGCGTGCATTTGACGAGGAGGTGCTTTGATCCGAAAGTGTTGCTTACCATTGATGTCCTTCAGCTGCTGGACCATAGCTGCCAATGGTTTCCTTACGCTGTTCCTACTTTGCAAATTTCCCAAGGTTGTAGGGGAAGGCAGAACTCAGGGCTTCATTTGAAACATGATGCCATGAAGTTTGGTTTTTGAAGCATGCAATACTACTGGAATATGACATTCGAACTTTAAAAGCAAGTAAGTCACGAGGCGTCCCGTGTGATGTCCTGGTAGCTTACCCTGAGCTTCATTGGGCACAGCTGGGTAACCACCCTGCGCTCCCTGCAGACTTTGCACATGTCTCTCTTCGACCAACGGGTTTGCAGCGTGCACGCAAAAGTTGGTATTGCCACCTGTTAGTCGTGAAGACAGAAGCGTGTATCACTTGGCGAGTGCTACTTCAAAACAGGACCGTAGTAAGTGCCTCTCCCAGAAGCCATTGCTCACACTTGCCGACACGCCTTTGCAGCTCTGTGCTGTCAGGTGCCCCGTGAGGCGCAGCTCTTCAACGCAGCGATCGGCGCTTGCGCAGCACTAGGCCAAACCCGGCCAAAACTGGAGCAGTTTACGGAATATTCAGCTTTGCAGGAGAACCAGAGCAAGCGGCGGCGTGGCTGAACAGAACCCCGGCAGCAAAGGGCAAGCCGTACAGATCAGAGTTTCGGTAGATCTCTTGCATGCTCATTGAAAAGAACCAATTGGTGCATCCTCCTTCCAGCAAGTCCGGATTCTGCCGCAACTGCATGGAAGTAGTATGGAAGTGCTTGTTACCGCTGCCATGATGTTGGATCCAGCGCAGGAATGGTGAGCCACGTTGCTCCGGATGCGGCTTCCAGCGGCCTCGTGCCATGGCTTTCGCTTGGTCGCGTCTGTCATGCACCGCGTTCTTTTCGATGTGGATGCAGCGGGTTGAGCTTACAACGGAGGTAATCACAGCTTTCATCTCTGCTGGCAAGACGAGCCAAGTGGACCAGTACATGAAGCGAGTCAAGGCGCTCTCTCAGGTATGCTACACAGCTAGAGATAGCTACAGCATGGCGCGCTTCCAAGATGGCATGCCAAGCTGCACAAGGCGGGTGAGTTGCAATTGGATTGCAGTGCGTTCAACCACATCATCAAGAGCTGCCTCCAAGCAGAGGACCAGCCCGGAAGCTTGCGGGATTGTTTGTCGACTGGTCTTGCTTAAGAAATGTGATCAAGCTGCCTTGCTTTTTTTTCCAATTGCACAGGATGTCCTGGCTGCTGACCGTTGGCTATCTGTGGCAATTAGCTGCGGATGCTCGTCATATTTCGGCATGAATGTAGAGGATTGTAGCGGCCTTTCTTGAAGCCGGGGTCGAGCCGAACCCTGATGTCACAAGCGTGCAGCCGAGGAGCCACGGCAGAAAGCCTGTGCGTCCAGGCCTTGATCGGCGCAGCGCTGCGCTTGGCCAAGGCATGGGCAGTTCATCGCCGTGCTAGAACCTTTCGTCATCTCTTTCCAGTCTGCCGTTGGCACAACAGCACTGGGATCGCTGCAGGCCAAGGTGGCTGAGCGATGGCTCTGCTTCCTCTCAGAAAAAGGCAGACAACGGAATGCAAGCGGTGCTTACTTCTTCAAGCCAGTGTGTTGGCTGGGCTCACAGGCTTGCTTCGTGATTCGGCCAGCTTCAATGCAGAGCCTTGGCACATAACCATCCCAAATAACTATGAAAGAAACGACGTGGGCGCTGCAGAGACACCTGCAATATGAAGACAGCCAATAAGGTCATCACTTGCTACGCAAAGGAGAGGAACCCGCAGGCTGCCGAAAGGATGGTGACCTTCATGTGTGAGTGCCTCGCCCAACATTTACGATGCCACGGGGTCTTTCGTTGAGTTTCAGAGCGCCAGACCTCAAAGCCTAAGGCATGGCATTGAGCCGGATGTGATTACTTTGGGAGCCGCAGTGCATGCCTTCGCCCGGGCCGGCCAGCAGAAAGAAGCGGAGCGAATGTCAGGTGCCAAGGAGTGGGGCGGGTGAGGCTAGGTGTGCGCAGCATCGCGCCACGCATGTTACAACCCAGGTTTGAGCTGATTCTAACGCGGGGCAAGACGCGCCACGAGCTTACCGGCGATTGTAACCTTGGTACCTCAGAGGATTTAGTTGTGCTCTTGACGAGAGCTGTATAGACAAGAACCAGAGATGGGAGCAGCAATCCAAGCTCGTTGTGCAGCTTTTGCATTCGAAGCCAAGAGAAGCCGCCATCGTCAGGTCCGGATGTGATTGGATTCAACGCGCTTATTGATGCTTCGGTCAAGGCATCTGGCAGATGAAGCTATGTCGGCCTTTCTTGACCCTGAGCGTGACGCCTGCCTCTTGCAAGGTTGGAGACACCAAGCGAGCTGAATATTGGCTGGAGCGCATGCTTGAGGCCTGTACAACATGTAGCATTGGTCGGGTCCGGTTCGGGAATGGTGAAGGGTAGGGCGGTATGCCGGCGAAACATCAAGTAATGAAACGCAATACTTGACTTAACTGATCGGACCCATTCTTGCAGAGCGATGGGCTGGCGTGCGCGAAGACCCTGCTCAACCCAGTAAGGGATCACAAAGCTGTTCCTCAAAACCATCAGGTTTTCTCATCAGCTTTTGGTTTGCCAGCATGTTCTGCGGCGTAGAGTCTCAGTCCTGGCAATTTTAGAAAGTGCTTGCTCTTCGAAGCGGTTGCTTGCAGCGATGCTCTCTTGGGGACACAGCTTGGTTCTTGAGGTTTGGTTTTTTAAGCCAAGCAAAGCCGTACTAGACTTGACAGGAAAAACGCCTGCTGTAAGGAATTCAGCCAAAAGTTTTCTTGCCCCTCAGCTTGCACTGGCTGAACCACACTTGTGCCTCCTTGTTGCCAAGATTGGCTTGGAGCCGAGCGTGGTCAGCTACACCACCGTGCTCCATGCCCATGCCAAAGACGGAAACATTGAGGTGGTTACAATGCATGTCATGTAAGAGTGCTCGCACGCCTCACATATGTCATTTTGTGGCAGGCAGCAGCTGCTAGGGCCTTGAATGCAGCAGGCTGCGGAGACCACGATGAAGCTGATGAAATCCAACGGAATCGAGGCCAATGTGGTGACGTACACTGCAGCTCAGCAAGCCAAAGGTTCTTGTGGAAGTGCGCAGCTACGCAGAGCAGGAGCATGAATACTTTGCCTTTACAGGCAATTTTAACATCAAAGTATACATCAGTAGCGTAGATGTTTCCTGCAGTATGCCCAAATGACAGCAAAACTCGTGCTGCTAGGTTTACTCTCAGAAGGCGCTAGGGGCTAAGAAGGTCCTGGCTGTACATCCTGAATAGGGGGCGCGCGTGGCGCCTCCTGCGCTTTCACCTTAAGCGCATGCTTCCGACCTCTCCAACAGAACCAGCGATGACCCCAAGCTCTTACCGATCTGGCCCTTACCCGAAGCTTGCTTGGTGCTTTCGAGCAAGCACTGCGCGGACGGTTGAACCGTTCTGAGGAGACAAAGAGCAGGATGGCCCACCCCCAAAACAGGTCACGAAGAGGCCCGCTGCAGCATAGCCTCCGGTAAGGAGTAGAGGGGAGTGACCGCAACCCGGATAACGTGTGCGGCATTGCGCGGCCAGGTAGCTCGCACATATTGTGGGGCTCCTTGTCGTTGCTCCTCTTGCTCCCATTTTTTGCCGACAGGTAAGACATTCTCGTAGCTTTCCTCCAACCGGACTTGTCAGCTCGCAAAATCAGAATTCCTGCCCTTCTGAGAATGATACCACCACAAACTCAGGCTCTGGTGAATGCTTGCGTGAAGGCTGGGGAGATTTCCTGCGCAGAGAGGCAGGGCACTTGACTCTACACTGCACATCTCACGGAGCTCCACCAGTTCAAGCCCTTGTCCCTGCCTATGTCGTAATCTATGGCAACTATTCGCCGTGCTAGGTTGCGATCTTTGGCAACTAGTTTTGCCCTGCTAGGTGGTTTGATGAGATGCAGGCTGCTGGGATTCAGGCCGTGTCTGAAGCTGAGCGATACGCAACATTGGGGTGGAGTGAAAAAGCTCCACAGTTGGCAGGCCAACGCCGTGTCCTACAGCGCGCTGCTGAATGTTTGCGCCAAAGGGGGTGATTTCAAGCGCCTTCGGCAGCACAGATGGTGCAGTCAGATTGTATTCTCTTGCAGATCCCACTGAAGGCGGGCGGAGCGGCTGCTTGAACGCATGTTCCAGGAGGGTGTGACGCCGACGGAGGTGCGCAAAACCTTTCTGGACTGCTTTCAGCCATGTCTGGTGAAGGTGTGCTTCAACAACGTCATTGACGCATGTTCCAAGGCCATTGGTTTCCCACGCATGCCATACAGATGAGTTCAATCCGAAATAGGGCTGTGAGTGGTGTTCCGAGACGGCATCTTCAAGGGATTTTTACGATCCATGTAAATTTCTTTTTTTTCTGCCTGTCGCGTCTCTCAAGTGTGACTTGTTTCAACAGCCTGCGCAGAAGGCAGCTGTTTATGTCTTTATTTTTAAGGCCTTCAGTTGCTCAGGCTGGGCAGGCAGCAAGGGCAGAAAAATGGCTGTGGCGCTTGGCTGAGGGCGCGGGACTAAGACTGAGATAGCCAGATGGCAAGCAGCCTGTAGCAGTTTACTGCACTGGAGCATCTCTGGCTCAAGAATCTGAGGCAAGGAACTTGCCGCCGACCTTGCACCCACTCGACAATCTTTCACCGCCGCAGCCCAGGCCATCAGAGGACCCTAAAGATCTATGTAGAAGTTTTGGAAGTCAGTGGCAGAGCGACACTTGAGCCGCGGCCAGGCACATGCCAAGCAGGGATCCTTCGGAGACGTGGAGAGGCTGTTCCGGGCCATGGAGGCCAAGCGCAGAGCGCAAGCCTGACACTTGTCATCCCATTCGCTTGCGAGGCCAGGGGCATTTCGATGGATGCTTTCTGTCTCACTGTCCAACTGTCCGCCTATGCGCGAGCGCGCCCACGTCAGCGAGAGCGTTTGGAGGACTGAAGTGTGCAAAGGCCAGTTGTACTTGAATGGAAGAGGCTGTTGCAATGCACATGATGCATCTTCACAAAACACCTCTTAGGCAATCATGTGCTGTGGGCATTGCAATGCAGGAGGCGCTCCGAAAGTACCACAGCCAAGGGCTGCTTTCTGACAATGAGCTGTAGCAGGGCTTGAGGGGAGTTACTCCCTTCCATTTACTCCTTGAATAAGTAAAGTGCGCGAAGAGAGTCTCTAGCGTTGTGCTGGAAATGTGTTTCATCTAGCATCATCTAGCAGGTGCAAAGGCCATGAACGGGGATGATGCGACCTGCCCAGGCTGGCTGTCACATCGCCACCGTTGCGTGTGGCGAGCCCCGATTGCAGCTTCAGGGAGAGATGTGGTGGACTTGCATGGTACCCGCGACAATTTCATACCATAAATGGTCATTGTTCGATCATACAACAACCACTGGGCGACAGTAGATGTGTGCGAGAAGGAGCCTTGGACCTGCATCAGGAAGTCCGTCCTGGGTGGGCAGCGTCTCGAGCAGCTGTGTGCAGAGTTGGGCTTGCAGGTGGCTTGGCAACTGCAAGGCCTTTACCTTCTCTCGTTTGCCAAGCGTTGCGAAGCGCTGCGAGGTGCCAGATCTTGCTGACTTCGCAGACGAGCGTCGCCCTTGGCGCAAGCGCCATGACTGCAAGATGAGGTAGTTTATGGGATGCCACAGCTGAGAGGCCGAGTTCAAGCACTTGTCAGCTGAGGCAATAATCCCACCTCACAAAGCTCGTCCAGAGGTGTCTTGGATTGCGGCCCCGCATGACCATGACAGTGTGATTCCCGCTAGAATAATGGCTGCACTACGGTCCCTTGTGTTGTGCAGCGCGGGCGATGATCGTGCAGGGAATGCATTTCATGAACATGTCCAAGATATTTAGCCGCGAAAATTCAAGAACGATAGGCCCGAGATCTTGCTGTTGTAAGCCTTGCGATAGCGTGCGCACCTTTTGGAGGGTTGTTTTTGTTATGGACTGAACTTTAGTAGGGTAGTGGAAGGTAGTTGAGTTTACGAGGGTCGGGCTGCTGCTTCCTCGACATCCTTGGAACAACAATTTTGTGTTATGGATCTTCGAAAGCTGGCTCCACCTTTCCCCAGCAGTGGCAGCAATGCAAAAGTTTACGTTATTTCAAGTCTCCGAATTGATCTCCGAATGGTGGTTGCCAAAAGGTCTTGAGAAGGCCATGACAATGAAAGGCCTGTCCTCTCCGCTGGAGAGTTTTGGGTTGCGCCATGATGCTGCCTGCTGGGTGTAGCGCTGCGTCTGCTAGGTTTTAGGCAGCCGTATTTGGGTCACAGAGGAGGGTTTTGCTCGGAATGTGCGAATGGGTACCGGGTTTGGCCTGCAGACGTACCGTCTCACTTGACTCGTGCTGGTTTCCCCTCGCAGAGACGCAGATGGAGAAAGACTTTGCAAGCGATCACTCTCAACCTCGCATTTCACTTCTCACCGTCTGCAGCCGTAGCTTCCTGCAGGGGAGCCTGCACTGACGTCTCGGCAATGCGGGCCCTCAGTAGCCTGCCGTAGCCACCAGTGGGATGGCCAGGACGTGCATCATGATGCTTGCAGCTGGATGGCAGTCCTTTTGCCAATGACTGGATGCAAAGGCCCCTCTGCCCCTCAGAAACGGAGCCCAGCACGTGCCTCGCTTTGTCGTGGTGAGGCCACCAGCGGTTAAACAGCCCGTCCTTCAATCCAGAGAGTGCCCGCTGGCATCCGGACATTGGCCAGCCAAGAGCGCATAATTCAAGTGCACACTTTCCAGCGGTATGTCACGAAGCCCTGGAAACAATTGAGTCGTAAGAACCGCCAGTCTTGCTGCTGTTGGTGACAGGATGTGACAGAGGAATGCGAGAGTGACCATCGCGGCATTCTGTGATGACCCTGTGCGCTAAGTGCTAACTGTTAACCTCCGCACTGGAGGATCGCAAAGGATGGCTCACCTCTCGCCGCCCTCTGCACCAACGATCAACGGCAAGTCTTGTGACGCAGGTCAAGTAGTTTTGTGGCACGCCGGTCAGGAAGCTAAGATGCAAGTTGAAGCTTTGACAGTTTTACACCTACCGTATTGATGAAAGGTGTAAGTTGGTTCAGCTTCATCACCTTACAGTAGCACCCAAGCAAGCATGTCAGCGACAACCAACTCATTCCGTCCTGCTGTGACTGTCAGCTGTTTGAAGCTTCAGGTGAGGGATTCATGGGCCACTTTGGTTCTTTGCTCTTCGGCTCATGACCAGGAATAGGAATTGGTTCTCAGTGGCCTTGCCCGGGCTAGATTAGCTTCCTGTCGCAACTGCCAAAGTGGCGACCAATTTTTGTTGGATTCGGCGTAAAGTGGACCAGCTAGCAACAGAAGAGCGTCCAGGCTAATGGCGGTTGCTTTGGGAGCCAAGCCCCTTGCAACCAAGGGAAGAAGGAGAAGAATGAGCAAGCCTATGAAAGACCAAGTCGTTGATGAAAAGTGGTAATTAGCATCAATTACCGATGGTCACGGTGTTCATGAAATGCTGCTAGTGGTGCCGTCGTTGGCGTTGGTAACGGGGTGTGATGATAACACTGCTAGGACACCTTAGCCCGTCGCAACCGCCCACGCTGCACAAGCTGATGGTCGGGTGGTTTGATGGTCGGGTGGTTTTTCACTTTGTTTTTGCTATGTCCAGGGTGTTATCGTCGTTCAGCTTTCACCAGACGCCTAGGTTCCAGAAATTATGTTGCAGCAAAGAGTCAAGACTAGTTGGAACTGCGTGCTGCAGATACCTGTGACGCTTCTCGAGCTGCATAGCTGGCCAAAGCCGTTCTCCGCCATGCCCAGTTTGCAGGTTGATCGCGGCCCTTCCCAAGGCAGCTCACAGTCAGTTTGGCATAACTGGGCTCAGTTTCAGCTCGCTAGGAATAGCTCTTCGCAAGTGCTGTCCAAAGGTTGGGTGCTGGTCCCTGTGATCCCCCTGATAGGGTACTCTGTACGGTTTTTAGGCTAGCATCGGCTTCGAGGACCAACGGTCAGTCTGTAAAGCCACCATCCCTAGGCAAGCTGGGCAACTTGGGCAGGAAGGTGCTGATGCAGCAGGTTCTGGTTATCAACTTACTACTCACTCTTTCACCTTCCTGTCCTGGTGCTTGATGCTGGTAGCCGACGGGGATCCTCCTTTTGTTGTGGCTGGGCTGACCTCTGGCCCCGCAGAGACCGGGACTCCCTTCAATGGCTCATCGGAGGTCATGGTCGGCGACATGCATGCTGAATGCTGCATCCCACCACCCTTCCAGCACACCAGGACCTTCGTGAAGGCATTCTAAGGTGTCCCTGGGTGGAAGCCAGACGTAGTGTGTGGTCAGTCTCGGCTGGGTGCTAGCCCTGGTCAGAACATGAGGGGCAAGAGCATGTTCAATCTCTTCCAGCAATATGAGGAATACTCATTCCAACAGTTGCTGAAGGCCTTCTGCTTGCCTCCCATGTAAACCAGGAACGATTGTGAAGCTCTGGTATGGGCATTGCAGAATCCGCGCCACGCACCAGCCTGCCGTCACAATTATAAAGTACAGCATCATTTTGTATGGTTTATTTGATTTGGCAGCACTGTACCATGTTCTGAGAACGTTTTGAGATTGTAAGCTGCGAAAAGCTCAATTACAGTAATCCTGTTCGCTTGCATTCATAACTTGCGGCAGTTAACCCTGCTCCCTTCTGCTCAGTCGCTGGATCACCGGCCCAAGTATGTGAACACCCCGCAAGCTGGCCCACGTTCACTCACCCCACGCACTCCATTCATGCACTTGTTACGAGTGTCTCCATTCAATTCGTAGTATAACAGCTCCAACTTCTTCACACATTTGATTGGCTTGGCCACCGTCAAATTTGATGAGCAGCTTTTTGCAATGCTTATCCTGGTGCGTCAGGTTTTTCTTGGAGGACCTTCTTGTTCCATGGAGGTTTTGGCGCAGAAGCCCTTGGCTTGGCCGGAAGCCAACCCGGATGCGCTCCTGACCCGTGTATTCTTGTGGCTTGGCAAATTTACTTAATCGACTGAGAAGCGCATGCTAGAATTCTTGCAGTTGCTTGGCTACATTCCAAGCAAATAGTGTGTAACCCAATTTCAGTTTGCCAACGAAACAGCTGTGTGTATCCGGTGTGTTCCTTTGCTTTTTGTTCAGGTCTGACATTTTTGATCTTGTCGAACTGGGAGCTTATTCGAGTTGGATTTCTGGCAAGTAGAAAAGCCTCGGCGCTGCGTGCTGCATGACGTGGCTACTGAGCCTCTAAAGATTACGCGCTGCAGCAAAGCGGGCGCGAAGATTGCAACAAGAAGCAGAGGAGAAAGAGCGATGCTGTACTTGATCTCAGGCTTGGTGAGAGTCAGTCCGACTTGTACCCACAAATGGGTTGAGGTGCTGATCCAAGAAGTGCCCAACTTGAAGTATGACATGAATCTCATTTTCAGACGGTTAGCAACTACCTCATGTCTGCAGGTTGCTGAGAGGGAGTCTGACAGTCTTGTCATCCAGAACATGCCGGCCGCAGCCTAAGATGGACATTTGTGCTAATCGCGTGGATGCTTCAGCACTCGAAATGCAGTCACTGGAACGATGGTTGGAGCTGTTAAGTTGTGAATGCACGTGCATGGGTGTGACCCTAAAGCTCAAACTAGCAAGTAGATCTGCCAGTGAAAGGGTTAGAATTTCCAGCATCAAGTGGATGGGGTTCACGGTGGGATTTTGCTGAACTTCACAAAGCACTTTCTGACAATCTCGCAGGGGAGACACAATGCTGCCATACACTGCTGGACACTTGAGGTTCTGATCTACCTGATTGTGGTCAGCCTCATGGAGAGGCACACCTGTGCGGTCGTGGCTTCGACTCATCGTGCTTCAGCAAACCAGCAGTGTAGTGCTGTGCATGTGTAGGCTATACCACAAGGGAGTGGCAACTCTGGCGCAGATGGAACGCCATGCCGGAGACCAGAACAGATGGCAGCACATCTGAAGCATCCTTTTTGGGTCACTGCCTGGAAAGCAAGGTCTCCTACGCGGAGTACTTGAAGTCCCTCATGTCAAAGGCATCCGCTCCGCGTAGGATCAACATCACTTCAGCCTATCAATACATACAACCAGGTCCCTCCACCCCTGAATTAAAACATCCGGCTGGGGTGCTGATTAGGAGGGAGTTTTACTGTAATATGGTAGTACTGTAAACCTTTAACGTGTTCAATTGAGTAGAGAGAATCCTTAGCAGTAAGGAGAATTGCAGTTCAATTCCTTTAATTGACATATTATGTTAAGAAGACTTTGCAAAGTTAAGAAGAATTACGAAACAAAGGACGTCCGTAAGGCAATTATTAGCTTTTCCTGCTTTTTAACAACAAACCTTTTTATTTCAACAAACTTCCAACCATCATGAACTTAGGAAACGCAGCACATCCGTAATTATGATTTGGATTTTTGCTGGACTATGTCATACACAGTCTTTGACAAAACGCATGTATAATCTAGAAATCGAAAACCGAGTCAGTAATCCTCATAGCAACCCCCATATTACTTCGGAACCCCTCCCTAATTGATGCTTAGGGGAATCCTAATTGCCGCCCCTTCCAGGATTTTCCGAGATTTTGGACTTTTGGGGGAGGAGTCTTTATTACTAGGGGTGTTACTATTCGGGGAAGTGATTCCAACATCAGGGCAAGTTGTCATGCCTCGGCGCCGGGCCGGCTTCTCACAGCT